AAGACTTAACAGAGCCATGAATATCGGCTGTTATACAAAAAGAGAAGTGCACATTAACGAGGACATGCAGTCGGCGGATCTGGAAGTCTGAACCTTCCAAGCACCTCAGCCAGCGGGCAAAGGCAGAGGGAGAAGCGGCCGGGAAAATGAGGATCCAAAGGAGGCTGCGTACTACAGCAATGGCAGAGAGCGCCTGGCAAATGCCGCACGGCCTGTGCCTCTGCCCAGCAATAAAGTCACTTTTACAGGACTCCTCTGTCTGCTCGGGCACACAAACCTCCGGCCACGGCAATTTCCCCGCACAGCCCCGCCCACGGGGCAGCCCCCTCTGTCCCAGCCACAGCGAGCGGGCCGAGCCAGCGCTGCTCCGGCAGCGGCTCCTGCCGAGGCAGCGGCGGCAAGGAGACCGCGGGCAGCCGCTCCCGCAGCGCCCTCAGCCCAGGGCCAACACGGGCCGGCCACGGCACAACCCACCCGCGCGAGCCCCCTGCCGCCCCCGAGGCCCGCAGCCAGCCCCGAGCCCCCGCACAACCCAGCGCGGCTCCCACCTGCGCCGGGGCCGCCTCCGAGCTCCGCCGCCGCCTCACCGGGCTCCGCCCGCTGCCGCCGCTCCCGGGCCCGCACACAAGCTCCGCCAATGCCGCCGCCAATGGCGCCACCGCCGCCCTCAGCCCGCCGACGGGGCCCGCCTCCGCCCCGCTCTCACCAATCAGCGCGCCACAACCACGACTGACGGCACCAGCGCCCAATCGCAGCCAGGCCCGGGCTCTGCAGGCGGCACAGCCTCGGCCCGCGCTCTCGGCGCCCCCCGGGCTGGCTGAGGGCAGAGCCGGAGCTGAGGAACAGCCCTGGAACGGGCCCGGGCCCGAGGCGGCATTGAGCTGCGAACACAAACAAACTTCTCCGCAGCTCCCGACACGCCTTTCCCAGCCCTGCGGCTTCGCTGGCTCCGGCTCGGCGGGAAGCCCTGCAGCCTCGCTTCTCCTACCCCTAATCAGGAGCATCAGGGCATCGCTTTTGTTAAAAATGCGTATTTTATTATTCACTTTTCGCAAAGATTAAAATGAATATTATATTTGTTGTGTTAGAAAGTTATGCTGTATTAATTTTTATGTAGCGTGCTAAATATACTTTTAGCTTATAACACAAAGTTAAAATAGATACTGTGTATGTGGGATTTTTTTTTTAAAGAAAAGGAATGAGGTACTCGCACCAGATA